TTTTTTTTTTTTTTTTTTTTTTTTTTTTGAGATTATTAATTTATGATAACGTTGTTTAAAGAAAGACCAATAAAATAACTTGCGGTATTTTTCAAAATCGCCAATGAAACACAATGCTGGTGTTACCGGATATTAAAAGTGATGATAAAGATTCTGCGGATAATGTAGTGTATCTCTAGTTTTTAACTAATAATTAATCACCGATTGGACCGGCAAATATGGATTCAAAACTTCTATAAATCTTATTCAAATTTTACCGGTATCCACCGATTACCAACGCATTTATAATATGAGAAAAAATTTGCTGACGAAATTATCATAAATCTAAAAAATATTTTACGTGGTATTTATATATTAAAATATTAATCCAAAATTTTGCTTTTTATTTTTTTTTAAAAAAAAACTTACACAGTATTACTTTAGCTTACGAAAATTAAAATGGAACTTCCAGAAAAAATATACGCATGCATAAATTGCAAAAATACGAAGAGAAAATGTGAAGGTGTAAAAGTAAACTTTGATGATAATGAATATGAACCGAAATTGACTTACTGCAAGATGTGTTTAGAAAAGAAAGTAGAATGTATTATTACTACTCCTCATTGCGTTTTATGCAAGAAGAAATTTGGCAAAAACGAAACTATTGGTCTTTGTCTAGGATGTAAAATGTCTCGAATGTTAGAAATAAGTATTTCAAGGCATGAGCAAACAATTTTAGCTTTTGAAAATATCATTTCAAGATTGGAGCAAACCACTCCAATTTCGGAATCAATTCATTCGGCCATCTTAATATTAAGAGATGAGAAATCAGTGACAGAGCAAGTAATTCGAAAGCTTAGACAACAACTTATAAATCAACTGACAAGAGGTGACTAGAGTTTTCTTAACTGCTTAATCAAACGTTGTTTTAAGCTCATTATTGTTTGATCATTTTAAATTAGATCAAGAAATGACACAAGGTAAAATTTTATTTGCTCGTAAGGAGTCATCATTAAAGGAAAAAAGTCATATTAGTTTTATGTGTGTATAATGAGTGATGCCGGGTGAAAATTTGCAGAAACTTAAATTTTGTAAGGTAAGAACTAGAGACAGGCAATAATATCTGTAGAAGTGAACGAAATTTCCGTTTATGCTTGACGGATCAAGGTATCATTGTTACTTATTACCTTGCCTATCTCTATTGAATGTAAGAAACATGACTTAGATGTTTTTTTCGTTATTTAGAAGGAAACCTGTAAGTAAACTTTTAAACTTCACTGTATCTTGCTTTAACTCTGAACACTATGATATGAATACATAATTGAAGTAGATATCATTTCGGCAGGGACACGGGATTTTTGTAATTCACTGCGATTTAAAGATTGGAACCGCTTAAAGTTTTCTTAACCATTTAATTGATCTGACCCATAATTCGACCAAGCACCATAAAAGAATTTTTTTTATGCGGTTAAACGGTTCCAATCTCTACTGCGATTTAAATCTGTTGTGCGTCAAATTAATACCTGCAGTGGTCGAAATAAAGCATATCGGACAAGCAACCTAGCTTTTTTAGTCCTGATATGGCACTGATTAATGGCTCGAATCGTGTCATTTCTAGGTTCATATCGGAACTATAGAGCTATCTGGTTTCTGATATTTAACTAATAGCTCTATTATCTCCGACATGAACCTGGAAATGACACGGTTCGAGCCATTAATCAGTGGCATATCGGGATAAAAAAAGTTATGATATTTGCTCGATAGGCTTTATGTCAATCAAATTCCGGGCTGCAGCTCACTGTAGATCCTTTCCAATCTGATTCCGGAGTCAATCAGAATCAACTAAATTAAAAATCCTTTTTGAATTTTTGAATTTTTTTTTAAACTTCTAGCGAAGATTTCTTAATAACTATTTGATTAAATTAGGTAAAATTTTTTTTATTTTGATTCTATATATTTGTAGAATTAAATGAAAAAAATATCATTGAATTTGGTTTAGTGGCTATCGAGAAACCTTTGCTAGATGTTCTGGAAAAACTGAAATATCAGAGAAATTCTAAACTCGGCAAATTTTTTCCGAAACTTGAACGATAATTTCTCAATGAATTTTTTTATTTTAATTCTACGAGTTTTAAGGATTAAAATAAAAATTTTTTATTGAATTTGTATAGATGGATGTTGAGAAATATCAATTAAATCTAAAAAAAATTTGCCCGTATCTTTTTTTTTTTTTTTTTTTTTTTTACAGATACCTGAACTTTGAACGAAGCTTACTCGGCACTTACCTAACTAAATTCGATCATTTTTTTTTATTTTAATACTATGTGATTGTTGAATTAAAATAAAAAAAAATTCAATCGAATTTAGTTAGGTAAGTGCCGAGTAATCTTCGTTCAAAGTTTAGGTATCCGTAAAAAAAAAAAGTAGCGGTCAAATTTTTTTTTCAACTTTAATCGATATTCCCGACGTCTACATCAAAATTCTATCATTTATTTATTTATTTTAATTCTACAAATTCGTAGAATTAAAATAAAACCAATTTCAATAAATTTGGATGGGTGATTGTTGAATAATCATAGTTTAAAGTTCTGTAAAAATTTTTAAAAAAATTAATGTTGCAATTAAATTTTATTTAATGATTACTCAACAATCCATCCAAATTCAATGAATTTTTTTTTTATTCTAATTCTGTGAATTCGTAGGATTAAAATAAAAAATTAATAAATCTGAATAGGTAGATGTTAAGAAATTTCGATTAAAAGTTAAAAAAAATTTGGTAGCAGCTTTTTTTTTTACGGATACCTAAAATTTGAACAAAGATTACTCGGGACTTAACTAAGCAAATTCGATCATTATCAATTTTTTTTTTTTTTTAATTCTATGTTATTATAGAATTAAAATAAAAAATTTGGTTGAATTTAGTTAGGTAAGTGTTGAGGGACCTTCGTTCAAAGCTTAGGTATCGGTAAAAAAAAAAAAAGTTGCGGCCAAATTTTTTTTAACATTTAATCGATATTTCTCAACATCCATTTATTCAAATTTAATTTTTTTTTTTTTTTTTTTTTAATTCTACAAACTCGCAGAATCAAATTAAAAAACTTCATTGAATTTGGATAGTTGGTTGTTGAGAAATCATCGGTTAAACTTTCAAAAAGATTTTTTTCCTAGATATTTCAAGTTTTTTCAAAACTTCTGGTGAAGGTTTCTCGATAGCCACTAAACCAAATTCAATATACTTTTTTTATTTTAATTTTACAAATATATATAATCAAATTAAAATTTTTTTACAAATTTTGATCGAATAGTTATTGAGAAATCTTCGCTGGAAGTTTAAAGAAATTCAAAATTTTAAAAAGAATTTTGATCGGAAATGATCTGCAGCCCGGAATTTGCTTACAGCTGTTTTCGATTTAGTTGGATCGACGATCTGCATAATTTTTTTTTCACCGACCGTGAGTCCTGTGATTACAATAAAGGAATCACTTCAGCTTCGTCATATTTCACAGAACTCATTTTAGAATTCATATATTTCCCTTTTAATGATAAAGAATTTCACAAAATACGACGAATATAAAGTGGTTATCTCTAGTGTATTCACGGACTCACGGACTCACGGGCTAAAAAAAAAAAAATTATGCAGACCGTCAATTAGGGATGTAAACCAAACTATTTGGGACGTCCCAAATTATGTGACGACTAGTATCACATTAGGTATTTACCGTGTTATTACTATTGCTAAAACTGTTTGATACTATTCATCACGCAGTTTGGGACGTCCCAAATAGTTTGGTTTGCATCGCTACCGTCAATCCAACTAAATCGAAAACAGCTGTAACATAAGGGATACTTTTCATCTAAAAACCCGATTAAACCCAACCCGGTTTTAACATATAAAAGTAAAATCTATCTTAGTCCTTGCATTTTGGCAATATCGATATTCGATATTTTGACAAATTGCTGAATTGTCTCAGAGCAATTCGGATTCAAATCGGTATCATTTGGAACCGAGATTTGGCTCGAATAGGAGACTTATAGGAAACAAATTGAGTTCACAGGGATTAAGACATATCGGTAAACAGAACTCCATTAATTAATCGATAGTTTTAGTTCGATAGCTCTATAGATAAAATCAATAGAGCTACTAGTTTATCGATATGCCTTGATGTCTATATGAACACGATTTGTGTCCTATAGATCTCCTATTTGAGCCAAATCCCGGTTCTAAATCAGTTCATATCGAGATCATATGATGCCGATTTGAATCCGATTTGCTTTCATTCAAAACTCTGTGTGTAATATCAATTTTTCTGAAGTCCGGTATGGTAAAGGTTTAACTTATTGCAGGTTTTCCCTTGGCAGCACTCAAATATTTTTGTTCATTTTAGTACGTATAGTATGTACGTACTTATGAAGTTAATATGATAAAGACTTTTTTCATGCATTTTTCATGTAAGCTATGAGACATGCGAAAACTTGTAATCCTTGCATTATTAAACCTATAAAATTTTTTGAATCTATAATATCTGCAAATAATGATGGATTACGTTACAAAAAAAAAAAAAAAGAAAGAAAGAAGAGAAAAGGAAGTGACTTACGTACCTGAATCTTGTATGTGATAATTTCATTTTATAAAGACTAACATCAAAATATATATTATATATTATATAATAGCCGAATACGAAAACTTTTACGAAAGTCTTATGCATGATCTATAAAATATTTATTGAGTATCAAGTATGTTTTCAACGTTGTTATAATGTAGTTATTAGAAAAGAATCTAATCAGCTTTTGTGCATACTTCCATAGTAGGTTTTGTCTAAACTAGCGCTAAGGATTCCAGTTTTGTTAGCGGGTTTATTAGGATTTTTGCAGAAGTTACTTTAAATTTATTCTTCAAAACTATATACTATACTTAAGGGTTGGGTTTATTGTTATCTGAAAAATATATTATTTATTTAATATTATTTATCATATTATCAATGTATATACATACCGATATATGCTTATGTATCGTGTTTTTTATTTTTTATTTTTTATTATTTTATTTATTTATTTATTGGAGATGAACTTTCTTATATATTAAATTGAAAGCAAATTTTTTCGCGTTTCCTAAAGTTAATAATACCAAAAAAAGTATTTATCAATTTAAGCAAGGACAGCGCCACCGAAAACAGAACAGCGGAATATTAGACATTCAGTTTGAAATTCTTTGTTTTCTTCCAATAATGCACCAATATGGTTCTTTTTGCTATGGTTTGGTGACTCATCGCACGAATGACTATTAGTGTGCTTTCTAACAATACTGAATTTGGTAAAATTTTCCGAGGGCTAAATCGTTAAGCAAAAAATCAGTAAAATTTTATTCTTTTGTATTGCGTAAACATCGTAAAAATGGTAAATTGTTCCTATTCATTCAACAATAGGATATTCCCTAATCTTATAAACCTAAAAACTTCTTCTAAATATGTCATTATTCAAAGGAGCGTATGCGCTCAATAAATAGCTTAATAAATATCGAATAGGAAAAATTGCCTAAATTAAGAAATATGAATAGATAATTCTAATGAACACTACGTTCATGAGTATACACAAACATCTAATGTGTCACCTTATTCACTTGATTTGTACAATTGTCTGTTACATCGTACGTACGTATTGGGGTGGTAACTCAACTAGTAAATCAAAACTATGTCAGCAGTATTAGTAATTTTACTATGATCAGATTTTTTAGGT